CCATTCCAGGTGCACTACTTGTTTGTACTTTCCCATGTGTTTGTTTGTTTCTCTGTATATGCTGTGGCAACTCAAAGAAATAGAAGAACCTTTACTTTGCCCTCTGTATTCATCATGACCCACTTGCTGAGCCAGTGTGATCAATCAATGTAATCTCAAATACAAGAAATTTTGCAGGTCCCTTTTCTTTCTTCACCCAAAATATACACACAATATCAATTGAACGCTAGGATTTTGTAAGGCGCATCCTGCATTATTTCAAGAGGAACAAAACTGCAATCAGTGGTTCGTAGTCATAGCATTGTTAGTCCTGATTGATTTAAGACAGGGTTAACTGCAGAAGGAGAAACACTGTGTTCATTTACAGAAAAGGTACCTGTAATGATCTAAAAGTATGGTTAAAAACAGGGGGAGGTTATATGGTAAAACTTCTAATTTGGTGACTAAGAGCAACCTAATATTTATTACTCAATCAAGACTGACTGGCAGGTACAATTTTCTCTTTGGATAGGTGTACTAGAGTATAAACTGAAGCACCCAGAAAATAATTACACTTAGTATGTGGAAACGTGGAAAAATTAGTAATTATTAACAAACAGAGTGAAAATTTCCAAGAGATAGGATTCTTTCGTTCTATGGCTAAGGCATGACAAAAAAAAAAAAAAGACAAAAACAAACAAACAATAAGATTATGACTTCAAAGGTTGATATGGGTCAAAACAAACTGACACAATGTTCATTTTTAATTAGACTTCCTAATGTGACATCAAATTGGGGTTTTTTCTAAGAAACAGCACTTCAGCAAGGCATGAAATCTTCACAGCTTAGTTTATTAGGAGGCAACAAAGGGATTCCAATCTGCTACAAGAAAGTTTCAGCCTATAAGCACAGCCAGTGCAGTACAAAATTGTGTCATATGAATTTTAATGTGACACAAGTATGAAAGATTCCAAAAGAACAAAGGCAGCACAGTCCTGTTCCACACTACACAAATGACCTATTCTGGTCTGAACAGCACACCACATTACAATCAAATTTATTTCAAAGAAGGGTCACACAGATCAAATGTAATGGCTGCTAGAATGAGTCTTTCCTTTATGTAGTATTAGAGAAAAGCAAAATATCAAACAATGTGGGAATGCCAGGGCACTGAAAAGAAAGGCATATTTAGGCTGCAGGGAAACAGATTTTATAAAGATATTTTAATTACAGTCATCCTCAATTACTGCAGTTTCTAAGTTTCAAAGACAGCAGGATACCTTGATGAAGACATGACAAGTACGCATGACCTTGCCTACTGCATAGCCTTGAACACATATTTGACATTTTAAGGCACCAGAGAAAAGTTTCATGTACAGTTTATGCCTAACAAAAGTAAGGAGACAGACTAAGTGTTCAGACTGGCCGGACGGCTCTTTGTGACCTGACATCTCCACGGCAGGAACCATGGTACTCCCAGAGTCAGAATACAACAACAGAGAGGCTGGTAAACCTCCTCAGCTGACTCTCCAACCTTACAACAAAAGCAACCTTAGCATCATTAAGGTATCAAAACAATGAGATCTTCTTGAAAAGACTGGACTGTCAGAAGAATATACCATTCCATTTACTTATTAATGAATTTCTGTAAACAAGCATGTAAGGATTACAGTGAAAAGCAGGCAAAATAAAAGTTAATGAACAAGTATCACTAAACAAAAAAGTAAGGACAAATTCTTGTAGTTCTTCTTGCCATGTATTTCCATGATTTAGGCATCATTTTTGTCTTCAAATCACTTTTCTGAAAAGAATCAATTACTGATGGGAAACCAGCTTGAGTCCTGACTTCATGAGTACGATGAATAGAATTTGAAGGTATGTGGGGAGTAGGCAGAAAGGGTAACAAGTACTTACAGCAAGGTATAGGTGTAAAACATCAGAAGTAAACATCCTTCTTCTAAAAAAAAATCATGAAGATTTCTATTTTACAATTAGATGAAGATTTACTACTTGGGTTTCTGTACATTAAATTCTTAAAGAAGTAAATTCTACCAGAAAGGTCTCCCCAAATGAAAGCTTGTTGTTGTGGGTTTTTTTCAATAAAATATAAATATACTATTGAAATATCTTCCATTTGATTCCTAGCCAGGGCTCCTTCAGTGACAAAACAAAACAGAATAAAAGCTGAATTGGAAAAATTTCCATAATGAATTGGCTACAAGCCTACAGGTTAGAATTAGTTTTATTGCCCAAGTCTAGCACTAAAATTGGTATTAGACACCTCAGCTCTCCAAGTTTTAATCAATCTGCTTTTCAGGAGACTTTGAAATATTCAAAGAATGTAGACTATTATGCCCAAAAAAACCTACCCAGTAACTTCCAGTGTGTAAAAATGAAACATAACATAGCAAGAGATAAAATTCTATTGCCATGTTTAAAAATTATTTAAGCTTTAGTTTCCAGAACATATAGCTGTCTTCCCTCTTCTAAGTATTTTTGTATTTTTGGAGGTTAGAAATATTCATTTGCTAGCAGACATTTATATCCCTGAAAACTGATGTATTCACCTACATAATGATGGCTCCAGTGCAAGTCATTAAGGTTTGAACTTGGAGACAGACATAAAGGAAAAAAAGACAAACCTTTAATGTTTCACTGGGTGAATAAAAATTGCTTTAATTTAGATATTCAGTCACAAGAATCCAATTAGCTATGGATATATACACACATATTCATACCTTTCAACTATCACATTCATTTGAATTTTGATGCTATTTTCTATAAAATATAATCCCTTTAAAATTGTATTTAATAGATTTATTCAGATGTGCATTTCCATATGTCATATTTAAGCTTATACTACCACCTGCCTGAGGCTGTATAGTCTGAATTGTCACCCTCACACACTTCAGCAGGAGAAAATTCTCCACAGACACCATATGAACTATTTCTCTTCTGCTTAGTGTAGAGGTACGATAATCATTACGACCACGGAAAGCATCTATGCAAAAAAAAAAGTTTTATGTGTCTCCCTTAAAAAAAATCAGATATCTCCAAAACAAAATATTCAAGCCACATAAGACATTCTGCAATGAAGTATCGCTCTCTTCACAATTTTTTTACACAGGTCAGCAAGTATCATCCAAGATTACTGCGATATGAACTCTACATTTGTTGCACGTATGACATAGACATAGATATATAAAAGTATTTGCATACATAGAGATATGCATATACATAATTTCACACTTAAAGGACACTTGAGATGGCTTCAAAGCCAGATTTGCAAAGCAAATAGACGAACTCTGCTTCCAACTACTAACATCAAGGTGATGGGATACCATCATCTCTCCGCTTTGTGTTGGGCCCATCCAATAACACTGCTGAGCAGGGGAAAAACCGACCAGCAAAGGTTAAGACTGCCAGAAACAAACTGAGGCTTAGAAATTGCTTCTTCAGATAAGATTAATGCTTGACTGATGCACAGAGTGACTTTGGGGCTGCAAAATCATTAAGAGCATCCATTCTCTTTGAATTTACACCATCTCTCAAACATTTGTAGTTGAGGCTATTAACGGATTGGACCAAACTTCCCCGTGCTCTTTTGAAATTAACAGCCCTGCCAAGTCACCAAAGTGCTCCAAAGGTCAACACATGATTAGTATCCCACCATCCTGCACACTGTGTCTGCAAGCAACGCACAGCATCTGGGGGGGAAGGGAGAGAGCGGGAGGAGGAGATAAATATTAGCACTGTGATAAGCTCACAGAGCACGACTCGGAGGAGGAGGGCAGATTTCACATGGTCCTTGCTGTTACGTTTTGGGGAAGCAGGGACCACCTCCCTGGAAGGGAGAGCTGGTAGAGACCCTGCACTTTTCTGCACACCTGAAGGAAAACCGAAAGAGTGAACACAAAGAACCTCAGACCTCCTCCCAGCCTGAGGCCAACAGGCACCTGGACCTTTCAGGATTACTGGCAACATCAGCAGATGCGCAAGCAAGGATTCCTGTTCGCTCACAAAGGGTAGCAGGCAGTCCAAACCGATGATTCCCGGCACCGACTGAAGTTTAGAAAATCCTGACCTCTGCACACACTCTGCTCCAACTTCACTGCCTTTTCAAGATCTGCTGCAACCCTTCAGGGAAAGTGCCCATGGCCATCTGACAGCACACGCGGTGTCGCTGAGCATCCCGGTGGGCACTGCGAACAGCCACCCCACCTAAGAGACTGTCCCTGGTTTTAATCACTGTCAGCCTCTGTATCTGCCTTTAGGTCCATGAGGCTGCCACCCCGCTGCCTCCCGGTCCATCCCCGGAGCGCTGCAGGCTCCCATTCCCCAGTCCCCCGTGCCCTAGGGCACAGCACCATCACACCTCCACGCCTGCTTTTCTCTGTTACTCCGGTATCAGCAGAGTGTTTTCTGACCCTGCCCTGATTGAAAACATGCCCCTCCGAAATGGGAGCGATAGAGAAAGGGAGAATCTGTACACAAAGTTTACAGCTCCTGCTTGCGCCTTCCTCTCCCCACCCAAGCCCTCGCCGGAGGCAGCAAGGCGAGGGACCGGGGAGCGCAGGGACGGCCAAGGGGAGCGCCAGCCCTGGGCTGGGGGACTCGAGGAGCACAGGGGCACGGGGTGCAGCTTTCCGTGGACAGTGACCCTGGCGGGCGATGCTGAGAGGGAAGGGAGGAACGGCGCCTTCCCGGAGAGGAGAGCAGCCGGCTCCCTCCGAGGCGCAATGGCAGCGCTCCCCACCGACCCTCCGGAGCCGGGAGCCAAGTCCATGCCCCGGCAGCGGCATCAGCAGAAACACCAGCAGCACCAGCGGCAGGAGCACCAGAGGCAGCCCCAGCAGCAGCAGCCCCGGCAGCAGCAGCCCTAGGAGCAGCCCCGGCAGCAGGTCGCCGCGCCCCACGCTGGCGGCCCCGGCCCGGGGCACCACCGCCCCGAGGCCGGCGAGGCGATGCCCAGCGCCTCGCCCCCACCCCGGGCAGGGCCGGCGAAGGGAAAAAGAACTCACCCCCAGCTTCCTGCTGCGGATTTTTACGTAGCCCTGCTTGACTATATCGTTAAAGTTGGAGGCCATGGCAAGCGCTGTCTGCTTCCTCCCCTCCGCGCCCGGAGTCCTCCTCCTCCGCCGCCGCTGCCGTCGCCTCCTCCTCCTCCTCTCCCGGGCCCTCCCGGGTGCCGCCGGCCGCTGGTTCCAGAGGCGCTTCTGGCATCCAGGCAGCGGCAGCCGCCGCGCTCCGCTCCGCCCGCGCCCCGCTCCTCCCGCGGCCGCTCCGCTCCGCTCCGCACCGCCCCGCCGGGCGGGTGGCGGCCGCTCCGCCCCGCTCCGCTCTCGGCCGCCCCTCGCCGCCCCGCTCCGCCGCCGCCGCCCCTCGCCCAGCTCGCTCCGCTGCGCTCCGCCCGGCGGCGGCTCGGCGCTGCCCGCGCCCAGGGCCGGGAGCGGGGCGGGGCGGAGCGGGGACACCGCCCCCGGCGCCGGCGCTGCCCGCGGGGCCCGGGAGGGGCGGGGGCGCCTCGGCCCGGCGGAGCCCGGGCATGGCACGGGGAGTGCGGACGGGGCTCCCCTCGGGCGCCCCGGTGTTGCCCGCTTCTCTCCAGGCTGGCGGGTGGCATCCCGGCTCCGGTGGCAGATCCCTTCGGGAAGACGGCCCGGGAGGGCATCCTTCAGCCTCGTGCATTCGGGAAGCCGCCTAGACAGACTCCCATTAGCAAACGCGGAACTGTTGTGTGTCAGTGCAACAAACTTAATGAAACAATATCTAAGCTACAGAAGTGAAGGAAGAAGAAAAACAAAACAAAGGCACAAATCCACCTCAAGTTGAAAAATTAGTTGTCACGCACAGGATCTCCTCAGTGATGGCCATGTGTTTAATTACTGTTCACTGTGGTGGACCTAGCAGAAGAATGACTTCTGAAGAAAACATAATGTTTAGGAGATATTAGGAAGGGAAAGAAACCCGAGGAAATTGTGTTTGATTTAGTTGCACGTAAAGTAGAAATGGACAAAAATGGATCCAAGTTGCTTGAGAAAGACAAACTACAGATATATGGGGTTGACGAGATAGTGCATGACTATTGTTTCATAAAATTGTGCTCAATTAAACTTCTTTAGTGGAAAATGTTTGATTGGTATGATAAGCTTAACGAAAGTTTAGTGTGCTCTTTTGCTAGGTATCTACATTCTACTGCACCGATGCCCTGAAATTTTCTGAAACCGGAATTTGCAGTATGTGGTGTGCTGCAGGCTGGGGTGATAGAGCATGGTTCTGTAGTTGAAAGTTTGTTAGATTTATTTCTGATTTTCAAAATCAACAGACAACATTAAAGATTAGCCTTGCAGCAAATAGGAAAGATACAATCTAGAAAAATTATTACAGTGCTTGGGTGATGAAATTATAGGGAAAAAACATTGTAACTTTGTAAAACTACCTGCAGTACTGTGACCAGCTCTTGGGTCCTTAGCATAGAAAATACATGGACCTGTTAGATAGGGACCAGAGGAGGGCCATGAGCACAATCAGAGGGATGGAAAATCTCTGCTATGAGGAAAGGCTGAGACAGCTGGGGTTGTTCAGCCTGGAGTAGAGAAGGCTTCAGGGTGACCTTGTAGCACTCTTCCAGCACCCAAAGGGTGCTACTGGGTACAAAATTATTTTTGCTTGTCCACTATCCACTGGGTAGGGTATCCCATTTAAAACTAACAAAACAAAACAGAGTCTTTACATCATGATCTTGCATCTTCATTGACTGCTTTTAGATTTACGTTCAAGTCTAATGTATGTGAAAATTACTACACTATGCCAAGAGAATTCCCCTTCCCAAGAATAGCCCTTATTATTTGCTCCCAATCTTTTTTCCTTAATTTAATAGCAATTAGTGAAGCACGTGGAAGATTACCTATCCATTTATTTTCTAGCAACTCGGTTCCTAATTATGCAAATTTTGGAACAACTGCTAGGAATAGAGACTCTGCATTATTTTTATCCAAACAAAAACTTCTATATAGTTATGCATTTTTAAATAGAAAATAAGCTTATATGAAGAAATAGAGAAAAATACTTAGCCTATATATAATTGTGGCTTCCTTGGTATTTCTAGTGAAATGTCAAAAGGATGAGTTTGAACTACTTTTGGGCAGAATATTACTTCCTCCTTAATTTCTTTTTTAAAGATATGTCAAGTCAGAATATTCAGTGATTTTTAGGGAGAAAACTGGGATATGCCTACGAGAGAATTCTTTCCAGACACCTTACCACATATTAAACAAAAGCTTTGTTCAAGATGAGACTAGTGATTGTTTAAAGTACAGAAAGCTCTTGAAGGATCAAAAAGGAGAGGAACATTTCCTTTCAATTGCCAACCAGAAAAGTACATAATCCTATTCAATTAACTGACAAAAAGACATTTTCCTTACAGATTAACCCTGAATGATTTGTAAGTTTGTAGAACTAGTTTCACATGCAGTCCCTGCCCCCTCTGCAGCACCTCTCAGCTACACAAAAATGGATTTTTAGGATCTGAGAAAAATTATACGTGTTCTCAAACAGAGATAGAACTAATGCAAACTAATGCTTTTTTTTAGTATGATTTCTCTGTTTGTCATTCAGAAAGAGCAGCAGTTTCAGATCACACAGCATTCCTAGGCACTCTTTAGTTTTCCAATTTCTGCAGTAAGGAGACAGCAGAATTTGTGTCGCCTCCCTAATATGCCTGTCTTGTCAGAACTCTACAGTGGAAAATTTCTTGTCAATGAAATTGAAGACAGTCCTACATTTCCAAAGGTAATCATCCATTTATTCTTAAGTATATTGTTTTATCATATAACAAAAATGGAAAATTGTTTTGATTTATAATAATCATATAGCTAATAGTAATTTTCAACAGATTTTTCCCCAATTATTTATTATTTTTTCTGTATTTTTCTCTAAAATCGATGTATGAATTGCATTGTTATTACTTGTTTTATTACAACAAAATACCGCAAAAATACACTAAAGGATAAAGAAAATAAGTGTAAAATACAAAGCATTTTCATTCCACAGTCTCCAGAGTGTAAATTAGCCAGCCTGAGCTTATAAAATGATCAGTCTGATATTTATTTTCAGCTGCTTTGTATAGCACCAGACAGAATAATCAAATATTCATTTGCATATGACTCCCATGGGCAGCTTGGGGCACAAATGCATAGCAAGGCCACTCTGAATCACAGGAATACAGATAAACTCTCTTGTTACTTCCCCACAAAAACACTCTTGCGTTCACATGACATGCATACATTGTATTTGCTGAGAAAGTCACAACTTACAAAGGAAGATTCCTCAAAGCAGTCTGCCAATGCTCTGTCTCTTCAGAAATCTCAGGAAGTCAAGTGATCTCAGAAACTCAACAGGTACAAACTCAGTGGGCAGTGTCAGGGAAGACTGACTATGATTCCTTCTGAAGAATACATTGCCATGAATAAATGCCTTATATATTTGCAAAAATATTATGGCTTTCATGTGGCTGCTAGTGCGAAATCATCATTTGGAAAGGGAAATGATTCAGCAGGTAATCAAGTCACAAATTATTTCAAGCAGAGAAGTTAATTTCTGATCTACCTAACATAAGTGCAATCAAATCTAATACTATTTTGGACAGACAATATGTATTGCTGTTTGCCTCTGACAGAAAGTAATTAATTTGAATGAAATTATCTTCTCTTGTGCTTACTTGACAAAATGAACACATTTAGGTAGTATATATATTAAATCTGAAATTATATGTCCACTCTTTGTGGATGATTCACATTCATGAATCATTTTCCAGTGGTGGTTTTCAGTGTTTGATGTTTCCAGCCAGGGTGGACTTTTGCCACGCTTGTCAAAGAGGAGCACAGAGAGGTCCTCTCAATCTCTAGCTATTTCTCCCTCTACTTCCCTGACCAAATACCAGCTGAGACTAAAGGAAAAGCTGTGGTTAAAAGTTTATCAGAGAATGGCACTTAGTATTTATTCAAGACACCTGATAAAAAGCATGTTCTTACCTAAAGGCTGTTTCCAATCTAAAATAAACAGTCATTTTTATTATGATAATAGAAATTTGCATAGGCAATGCCAAGAAAGAAACATTAGCTAATGTATTATTAATGTGTTGAAAGCCTACCTTCAGCTAGGCTTCAGACAATTATTTTGCTCCAACCATAAATCACATACTAACCAGAGTCCTTTGTGAACTAGCATGAAATATAAATCATGTAGATAGACAATATTAAAAAACTATTGTTTTCCATGGGCATTGTAAAAAGCAAAGACATTAGTTCCTGCATGAAACCACATACATATTTATTACTGGCTTTCTATCCAGCCCAATAGTACCTGGTTTTTTATCCCCCAACTATAGGGTAGATATCTAGGTTTGTGTCTTACCCTGTTGCTCCCAACCTCTGGCAGAAAAGTAAATTTTAAAAAGTGTAATCTCCTCATTTATAGAGTAACATATTATAGCTGATTAGTCTGGTTTTGGAGATCAGAAAAGGGAATATTTTCATCTCTGCTTTTCTATCAAAGGGCGAGTAAGAGTCAAAATCCCGCTCCTCCAAGACTCCGACTTTGGACACCAATCATAATTTATGCTTTTGTCGCTTTGCCCCAAACCAAGAAGTGCTGTGGGTGTGACTGGGGGCCCCTGTGACTGTGTAGGCAAACTATCTTTATCTTGGCAGATGTGCTCTCTCAGAGGTAACTCCACCAGCCAGAGGCATTTCCCCAGATATCTGCCTCAGTCTGGTTTTGGAGAGCAACACCCTGCAGCAGTGATATTAGAGGAATTTGTATACTGACTTTATCATAAAGGGCTTAGGCTGATGTATTTGACCATGAAGTGTAATTATCCAAGAGAAAAGTGCTGAGTTTCTGCTTGTGGAGAAATAATGTTTCAAATAATGTATCAAATTAAGGCAGCTAAATCTTAAGCAACCCATTAGACCTAATGCCCTTGCAAACAAATATAGCTATAAAAACATTAATTTTCTGACTGGCTTCTGCCAATTTCTAAGCATGAAACATGGTGAATAGCACATAAGCTTTCTATTTAAAATAATATATTTGGCATTTTATCTAAAATACTCCAATAATCTTCAGAAAGAGCTCCATGAAAACTTTTGGGGAATTAAATCCCATATTGTGTAGAAAATATTATTTTCCATTATAATGATCTTAAAAGACTTGAAGGTTAAAACTTAGCTAAGTGCACTTAAGACAAACTTGAATTCTAATT